GGTTAAGACCTGACAGCTGACCTCAGCACATGTTTCAGCAGTGAGAAGGGGGGTGGGGGAGTCAGTGACACAGACTCAATGCTCCCACAACATGCTGCACACTGCAGTCTGCGTCGGTGAATCATTGATATTCTGTGCAGTTTGGGGTTTTCCTGCTGCTTGGGGGAGATACAAGAGCAACAGTGAATGTGRGGCTGCCTTCAGCTGCAACTGTTGAGAAACTCAGAGAGGAAACAGAGTCTGTATGCAAGGAAGAGCCTGACGTCACATCACATGATAACTAACCACAGATGCTCATACATGTTCCATATCCTCTGCAAAGTGAGAAACAATAAAGAARGAGTCTTCATGCTGCAGCTTTAGGTTCTGCAACTACTAAATGTTTCATTTTAACCACCATCTGGACCCAGATCAGGACTCAACAAGGCTCTAGGGCAACATGTGGCTCTTTGCCTCCTCTGCAGTGGAGGCTTTGACCAAATGTATAATGGAAATGATTTTTATATTTTCACCAACAATAGGAAAAACTGATTCTATTCAGCATTCAAACTATTGTTCCCTGTGTAGCAGCACAAGTGTATAAGATTGTTTATTTGGTGCTCTGCCCTTTAAATTCACTTTTCTCACTGTGCAGACTGCAGAGTAACCAAACAGTGTCGACAACGCCACATTGGGAAATGCACCCAAAGAAAGAGGTTTCTAGTTTTCTTTAAAACAGAGGTTCTCAAATGTTTTGGGTCAGGGGACACCTTACAAAAGTGTAAAATTTCCAGGGACCCCCTCATAAACCTTATGCTGATTTAAAAATAATTTAAATCRTTTAAACCCCTAAATACCATGGAAATATGTTTGTTTTACACTGTTTTTACACTGTACCACACATAATGCTAAAAATAAAAACAAAAAACAAAATCAACAACTTAATGTAATTTTTTTGAGAACCCCCAAGCTACAGCTCATGGACCCCTAGGGGTCCTGGGACCCCAGTATTAGAACCTCTGCATTAAAAGACGTTTAGGACCAAATCCAATCCCATCAGAAAGGGGAGGGGAAGGTCWGCAGGGCTGAGGCCTACCAGCAGGAGAGGGCGGTCCAAACAGGGGAAACTGGTTCCTAAACTAAAACAAAAAAAGATAAGCAAGTCATTCTGAGGCACATGCATTGAATCGTGAAAGGAACCTAGCACCAACCACTCGCACAGACCAGAGTAGTCCCCCTGAAAGCCCTCAACCTGGACACAAGGAGGAGGTGTTAGGTTGTACAAAAAGCATTATATATGGAAAATAAATACAATTTAGAAAATTAAACAAGATTTACCAAAGAAAATTACAATGATTAGTTCATTTACCAGAATAAAAYCCCTTTGAAATTAAAACTAAATCAGATAAAGTAAACCCAACCACAGACACATCCACCTATTAAAATAAGAGCTCCACTTAAAAGAACCTAAAACTCTCAGGCTGCTATTAACAGCAAGGCATAAGGCCACACTGAATAAAACCCATATGAAACCAAAGGAAAAAGAAAAAAAATCCAAATCAAAGACAAAACCAAAGAAACAAAGCAAAAATTAAGAACCAAAGCAAAGCATCAGGGTCACTGAGCTGCAGTAACTTTACTGTCAGGCCCTCTGATTTACTATATCTAAACCAGAGAGCGCTTTCTGGCCCAGCTTGCCAGAGATTTCTGTTGTGCTATGATCACCTGGGGGGGAGGAGTTACTGACACACCCCAGCAAAAGCAGGAGACGCCACCAAGCAGTTGTTTTGCAATCAGTTGACCCTGCTGAGCAAATYAGCAACAAACCACGCTGAAAGTTTYGTGAGTCGCCGTGGGCGTKGCTCGTTTCCGCGGGCTTTGCAGCCWGCGGAATGGAGAAAACTTCGCCGTCCTGCTCGTAGTCGTCAGAATCGAGACTAACAGATTCCGCCTCGGAGTCAGTTTCCCTGCTAAWAAGGTTACTGAAAACCGGGAGGTCCGTCTRGTCTTGCTCCGGGCCCAGCAGTGGGGCGACAGCCTCGAGCTGGTCGCTCCAGCTGGCTCCGGTTGGAGGGTGCTCTTCCTTGTTGTTCGCCGTGAGCTCCACCTGTGGCGGGGGTTTGGTTACTCCTAGCACCGGGTCGACATCCGACAGGCTAGCTTGGCGCACCAGTCTGCGTCGGCAAGATTTGKGGGAGKGCGGTGCACAGTGCTCGCKGTTAGCTGGTGACACTAACGRGTCCTGGGCATGTTGCAGCCCCAGACACGAAGCGCAGACAGAGTAGGTATCTGCCCCAGCGATTAGGTTGCCGCATGTGCAGGTTCTAGTTGGTGGCTTAGCCCTGTCCATGGCGAGTACAGGTGGAAGCGTCCCGACGTGTTTCACTCGAAAAATTGCACCAAAAGGGGCAGCTGGTTTGGTGACCAGTTGCGGTTGCTGCTGTTTGATGACAGGCCAGCGGAAGAAAAACTCAGAAAACCAAAATACASTTATTGAGAAGCATTTGGCGACCAAGTTGTTAGCTCGCTCTGTGAACAGTTAAGCTAGCTCAATAATAGCTGTATATTCGTCTGAGAGTTGCTTCTGGGAGCGAGAAAAGGTGTTAGACTGAAGATCACCTACGTAACCGTCAGCCTTTATACTGGGAGGAGGTCCCCCCTCCCGGAGCTGAAGTCACTTTTCTGCCAGTCAAAGGACTGGAGTAATGAAATAGAGCTTCTGGGGGGACAGGCTGAGGGTGTGTCCCATAGTGAGATACCAGAACGAATGTTGAAAGAGAACCTAAGGAGTGTCTGCTTAGAGCTCTGCAGACCTTGATGACATAATGAGGCCTAATATAGCCCAAGTAGGGGTCTCTGCAGACGAGTGGGCGTGTCACAAGGAAAGACAATTCTAAAGCGACACACCTGATTTGACGGACTTTGTTAAAGGGACACACCTGACTGGACAAGAACAAAAGGGGRGTTACTGCACGGCACCACTTTTTCTGAAGAACCCTARTTGYGTCACATTTCTCCTGGTTAACCTTAGTGTTGGGGTCAGGGTCAGGCTGTAAAGACATCAAGCAGGATCTAAGGATACCGTCATGTATGCCTCGTAGCCCACAGTGTTTATGCTTTTGACACGCCCACTCTTGTGTCACGCCCACTTTGATTCTGCAGATAACCCCTTCTCAATATAGCACTACTATGYTTCAGCTGTGTTGAACCAGGGCAGCTCCTAAAACATGCAGAACATCAGCCCTCGAGAGCTGACTTTGGACACCATTGAACTTTTGGTTTTGCTACTTTTGCATTTTGGCTATATTTTAGCTGTTTTTAGACAATGTTGTGTTACTTTTACCCAGAATTCAACTACTTATAGCAATTGTGTTTTGTTATTTTAACATTTAGCTACATTTTAGCTGTTTTAGACAATATTTTATAACTTTTAAGATCAAGTTAGGTTTCAGCTACTTAATAGCTAGTTTTTTTAGCTGTAGTTTATTTTACGGTTGTGTTTTGCTACTTTTAGCTAGAGTTTAGCTACTTTTAGTTAGTGTTTTTCTACTTCTGGCTTTTAGTTAGCATTTATTTTATTTTTTAGCATTTAACTGGTAAATTCAGCCTTCACTCTGCATTTTCACAAAAGATGCATAATTTCTCTAGTTCACACTGTTACTGGGGGGGGGGGGATGAATTAAATAATTATACAAACAACCCTGGTCAATCTTGTTATCCTATTTTTGAAATAATGAATATAAGAATCATAAAATTCTCTATTTTTTTTTTCCTGAGTGAAGACTTAAAGTCAGGCCTTGAGTTAATGAGTAGATGAGGTAGGCTATTGTACTCTGCTTTCCTGTCAGGTTGAGGAGATAAATGTACAAGTTTCCGGGATTACCCTGAACGCCTCTCGATAAGTATGGTGATAAGGAGTCCTGCAGTGCACGCAGCTGCTGCCTGAAGAGAAAGTGACGGTTGGGGACGAGCAGAGGAAAACAAAGCGAACTGCGGGGCGGCGCGCTTTCTCATTTTATATAGGTTGGTGTAAAAGCCACGGAGAGAGTCTCCGCGTTTCCTGTTTTTAAAAAGTCCACTCCAGCCGACCTTTAAATGCTCCAAACTCACTGACTGACGGAGTTTCCAGTCGAGGACAGCCAGAGACGCGACAGTCATGGTGAGTCCAACCTGTCTRAACAGCTTGAACTAAAAACCAGGTGGAAAAGATGTTTCTGAGCGGAATGTTTATTTAAGTGTAGCCTTCTCAGTGTGCAGACTCCTGAGTGAGAGCCAGAGGGTTGAATGACCTTAAATTAGGTTAAAGTAATAAGAATTACAGGTCCTGCCGAGTGTTCACTTTTCTTCTGCGTTTGTTTTTCATTATAAATTAATTCAGTTCTATTTCTTCTTACATAAACTGTGACAAAAGTCAACACAGTGCATAACAATGAAAACAGATTATTTTTAAATAGTTTTATTTARTTATTAGTTAACATTTCTCCTTCTTGTGTCCTCATAAGTCACCTTTGAGACACAATAATCTAAACCCAGAGAGACACTGGACTCAAGCAGAACCATGGTTCCTAAAGTTGGCATGCAGATCAAATTAACTTTAGCGTATAGCATTTTTACACCCAACTGTTTAAAATAAATAAAAATAATGGTCATTAATTTATAAAAACTTATAAACAAGTGGACAAGGCTCTTTGTTAAATGTTTTATTATCAATGTTTATATATTTTTAGTATTATAATTGAGGCGACTTTAATTTTGTGGGTCAGAAGAGAGGTTTGGGCACCACGAAGTATTAATAAAGGTGAAACACCAGGTACCAGCATGTACACTGGAGGATGGAATGAGGGAAGGAAGGAAACGAGGAGGGAAACTGGAATGGGCAGCAAGTTCCTGGTTAAATTTTAAACACACTATTGTCTCCCTGCTTTTTGTTGTGCCCAGGATGAGATAAAAAGGCAGTCTCAGCATCCATTAATCACTTATCAGGCTTGGAAAAAAAACACCTTTTGCTCTTTTCAGATAAAATCACCAAAAAAGGGAGGATGTGGTATTTTCAGAATGAACTGTAGTGAACTAGATGCTGAGTTTTTTTTTCACTAGTTTCTGCTTCCTGTCACCTTCTGAGGTGCAGGTTTCCTGTCATGGCTCAGAGGGCAAACACTGAAGGAGAAAGCTGTCAGGAAACATATAACTCTGAGGTCAAATATCCTGCTCCGTGCGCTTGTTCTGTGCCATTTAAATAGTCTTCATGATGATCTTAAAAGACTGACTTTGTTTCACTAGAATCCTGACCTGCTTTACTTTACTTTCTATTTAAATGTAAATTACTTGAACAAGCAGGATGATTCAATTCCCTAAACACCCAAAGCAAAACTGTGTTTAGCAAACAAACCAGCTGGGTTTATGTAAAGTGGGTGTGTCATTTCCCCCCACTTGACAGCTAGTTATTTTTTTAATTTTTATTTTTTCAAACAGGCTGTGGGTTTTGTTTTCAGTTCTAAAAAACACGACAGAACTAGTTCTGTAATTTAGTGTTTTGTATCTGAGTTTCCTATTTTAAAAGACATTTGGAAATGAAAGTGGCAAGCTTGAGGCATACAGAGCAAACATTCATTTACTGTTCTGTAATCTTTCTGTTCTGTTTGCCTTACAACCTGGAACTTAATTGGATTTTGAATTTAATTAAAAGTATCAATTCTTCAAAACCAGGGGATAAATGTATTTAAAAGTTGAAAAGAAACTATATAAAACAGATGTTTTGCACGCACGTCCCTTGGCTTTTAAATCTTAACCAGCAGCTTCAGAAAACATACAATTAGACAAATTTGATGAGATCAAATTCATAGTTTTTGTCCATCAGGGACAACACCATGTTTGAGGCAAATCTACCACCTGTCTTGTGCTGAGAACTCAGTCTCTACAGTTAAAACGTGGTGGCAGCTTCAGGGTTGTTTTCACCTACAAGAACTGGGAAACTACTCAGAGTTAAAGGAAAGATAGATGGAGAAAAATACATTGAAATTCTTAAAGGAGACCAATTATGGGTCCTAGAAAATTTTATGGTATGTCTGTGGGCTATCCAGACCATGTTCATTCAATTTAATGCACAAAATAATTCTCAGATAATAAAACTTCCCATTTTCTAGTTCTGCCTGCTCTGACTTCTGTTCAGAAGAGCTGTTTATGTTAATGAGCTCTGTTGGTAACGCCCTCCAAAAATCTGTTGACATTAACTCCGCCCTCCAAAGCCAGCATTTACCTTAGCATGGCTAATAGCAGAAGCTCCGTTTTACAACCTCTGCTCTGCCCTCACTCTGTTCCACTCTGTTACCAGAGCAGGGAGCAGCAGCGGTGAAAATACCTCAGAAACTCGAACAAATAGGCTTTAACAAGGCTTTAATAAGCTAAACAATAGAGGTACATGAGAAAACGTGTTCATAACGAACAAAAATAAATAAATAATTAAATTGTGTCCGTGCCGGTCTCAAACCCTGGTCTCCAGCTCTCTGGTCCAACACTCTACCCATTGCCCTACTGGAGGCTTGTTGTGAAATGAGCTACACATTGCACAACAACACAGTGACGGCTTTTTATACTGAGGAGGTGGAGCCTCACCCGGGGGTTGCTAGGTAAGGGGCTGAACGCAGGTTCTGGTGGGTTGTCGTACGGCTTGTGACATCACAATATGACTGAAGTATAAAACTTGTCTTTAATACACATTAAAAATACATTTACTTACAGTAAATATGCCCCTGGGTACATTTTTTGGTCCTAGGACTGTTTTTTTTTTTTAAGAAGCACATACCCAAAGTTGAATAAAAAAAAACTTTAAAAAGTGAATTTTGCATAATAGGTCCCCTTTAAGTATTTTAACTAGAGCAGATTAAAGATGCTCAGGGTAGTCAAAAATGAGGTGGAATGTCCCTTTAACCATCTCCTGAATCTGAATCAGCTTTGTGTGGCAGGAATAAACATCAGCAAACTGATTTATTACCGAGGGAATATTGAAGACGATGCAAAACAGAAACTTTGTAGTTGGATTTAAAGAATCTTGAACCACAAAGAAGATTACTAAAGTAAGCTAATACAGTTTGTTTTTTGATATGAGGCAGGCGTCCATGTGTCGTGCTGTGCTTCAAGCTCAGCTGATTTTTTTCCCCTCTGACTGCTTCGTTTCGGAACACGTACCGGCTTCTCCATTGAAACACGGAAAGTAACCAGAGCGACYAAGAGAGTTTAGCCGCAGTGGAAGATTTATTTTCAACACATCCTTATCAGAGTTTGAGCGGGTCTGAGCCTTATCGGATCACGCCGCTGGCTAAAGGCGCTGACTCAGCTATGCACAAAGCTGTTTCTGTCGATGCAATGCGTGTGCGTTGTTAGCAGCAACGCTCACATGGGCTAATGTTCAAAGTAGTAACAAACTTTCGTTGTAGTGTTCACTGTTCCAAACCCTGACTCGCTGCAGGGGCGTGTTTCTGWGTGAGAGGCTTTTATGCCTGAACCGTAAGCATGTACCAAGTAATGTAAACGTGTACTGTTTTAACCAAGAGGAAAATTCAACTGCAGTATCCACCGTTCAACACATAGAGGGCAGCACTATAGCAGAATTAAACACATTTATACGGAAATGTCAAAATTAGCACAGAAATACAAAGATAATGCACTTAAGACACAATTCAGACAGTTTATCTACTGTACATAAAAAGTTGATTTGAAGTTATTTTTTTATTATTTTATTATTTTATTTTTTTATTTTGGAGATTTATTCATTTATTCATGTCACTTAAAACAAAAAAGTTTACATTACAGAAAATACAAAACTTATATCACAAAATAAAATGAAAGGCAGCAGAACGAAGAAAAAATCTTTTATCTGCCCCTTTTTACAAAGAAAAAAAGAAGAAAAAATATCAATACTCTTCTAGTTACAAAAATACAGCAAAACAGAAACAACAACAAATAAAACTTACATAAATATCCCTTATTCTAATATACAGTATATTTGTTCAATAAACCAAGTTTAATCATTCTTTTAAACACAAACAATGATCTAGCATTTCTAACGTCACTCAGAGCATTCCACAATTTCACTCCCTGTATCAACGTACACCGTTCCCTTAAACTCGTTCGAAATCTGTGCTTCACAAATACTTCATTTCCCTTTAAATTATAAGAGCTTTCTCTTTTAACAAAATTTAACTGTATATTCAAAGGTAGCATGTTTTTATGAGCCTTAAACATAAGCTGTAGAATACTGTAATCAACCAACTCATGAAGTTTTAATAATAATAATTAATTTACTCCAACAAATGATACAAAAACCTGTTTATCCCAAAACATGGCAACCATCACAACTTGTCTGAACATTAACCCCTTTTTACATCACTGTTCCAGCAAAGTCAGACAAACTAATACAATGAATTCACTTTTYTGCTGACCCTTTACAGGAGAATGGGAAGAGCCGCTTGCAGCAGGCACAGGAGGAGGCAGAGGAGGTGAAGGAGATCATGCTGGACAACATGAACAAAGCTGATGAGAGAACCGGCAAACTGACCGATTTGGAGGATCGGGCTGAAGAGCTGATGGAAAAGGTAGCAGTCCAAGGTGCTCTTCGGGTGGGCAAAGATCATGATCCCCCCCCCAGGCTATGTTGGGTTGTTTGTCTAAGAGTCTGAGGTGTATCTTTTACTGTGAACTCCCGGAGCTTATTGCCAACGGAATTTAAGCTAAAAGATGTCACGTTGATATCCAAAAATACCTTTTAGGTGGAGCTGGAGAGGAAAACAAATGAACACTTTACATCCTGATTGTGTTAAATAGTGCTATGTTTAGAAAGGTATTTCCTATTGTTTCCAAAGATGAATGAAGCAGGCTGGTGTCCCTGGGTACGACAGTAAGTTCAGGACATGCCACGAGGCCAATGTATGTCCGGGGGTCAACGCTGAGGTCACATCGTTCCCACGTTGCCATGCTTGTCTGTGTTACTCAACACTGTATAGCTATAGCTTGCACAGAGCAAAGGAAAAGCCATAAAAGCAAAGTATCAAAATTTAACATCAAGAAATAGTTGAATTTCAGTTTTCCACAGATTGAGTTGGGATTGAACAAACTAGAAGAGCACATGTTGATATAAATTATAGAGCTCACAGGAGTAACRAGAAGTGGTAACACTGGAAGAACTGACTGACAACATGGTTCATTAAACAAAAGACATCACTGGTGCATCACTGGAAGAATTTGTAGCAATAGGGAAGTTCATGAGTCATGTGTGAATTGATGTTTATCTCAGGTAAAGTTTGACTGAAACAACCATCAGCAAATCCAGTGAAGAGATCAAACTCTTATTAAACTGTTGGCTTTCATTGTTTCCACTAAGACAACTGTCCTGGCAGTTTCAGCTCAACACAAGTTAAACTAAATCAGCGGTGGTGGGCAGCACTAATTCAAAAGATAGTTGTGCAAGTTCTAAAGTGCTTATGTTCAATAAATCTTAGTGGAAGCGAATTCTAAAGCACAAAATTGACTCAGAGTTCACCAGAGTTCACCAGAATCGTAGGCGTGCTGTACTGGCTTCTGCCTGGAACCATCAGAGAGMAGGTACAAACTGCACGGCTGAGCGCAGTTCTGTGTGGTTCTGAGTGGTTGGAAACAATGTAGGGGACTAGTGTCCACCACTGTAAATCAGTCACATTAACAGACCAACATGTAACACAAAACCTAACACAAAATACTTGAAAGCTGCTTGTAAGACTCAGACTGTAAGGACCAAGACAACAGTTTGGCTTCAGTTCTAAACAATATGTCTGCAGGAAACCAGGCACCTTATGTCATCTGCAGAACCATCCCAGTGGAGCATGATGGTGGCAGCATCATGGTGTGGGGTGTTTTTAAGCAGAAGACAGTTTAAAGGATAGCTATCCTTGATGAAAACAGGTTTCCACAGAGCTCAGGACCTCAGACTGGGCTGAAGGTTCACCTTCTAACATGACCCAAAACYGAGAAGACAACTCTGAATGTCCTAAAGTGGCCCAGCCTGAGTCTCGACTTGAACCTATCAAACATCTCTGGAGGGACATGAAAATGGTACCATCTAATCAGACAAAGATTAGGAAAAAAGAGCTAAAAAGATATTTGAAACTGTAATTAAAACCATTTTAAGGTGGTTTAGATCAGTACTAAGAGGTCTGAATGATTCTGTATATATAATTGTTTCTCCAAAGTTTCAAATATAATATGTCTTTTGCTTTGTCTTTGTGGGCTACTCACTGTAGGTTATTGAGAAAAAATAAATGTAAACATCTGTGGGATCAGGTTGCAACAGAACAAAAAGTGAATAATGTCTGAATATTTTGAAGCTGTACAACTTACTTTTTTACAATTCTGAGATATTTTACTGCAACATTTAGTCCTTTCTGCGTGTTGGACTGCAAATGTTGAGAAGAATAATGAAGCTGAAAAGGTTTGKGCTGAAGCTTCTGCTGTCTGATTTTATTCCAGTAGTTTCAGCTGGCTCTATTCACTGTTTTATTTGACTCTTTAGCTTCAGATGAGTTTTTATTGCAGACCTAAAGGTTCAAATTTGCAACTACGGTAAGTTTAATCTGAAAAAAACTAACCTACAAGCGTTGTTAGATTAGCAGGTCATTACAAATGAAATAATTTCTRTGTTGTATTTCATATCACTACACTGTTTTGATTGTTGTTTTATCTGCTTGTTCCAGTACCTTTTTAAAAGCAGGGCTTCTCAAATCTTTTGAGTCTGAGGACCCCCTACAGGGGAGATACATTTCCAAGAACTCCCTCAAAAACCTCYTGTGMATTAAAATTATTTACTGCTATTTTAACCCTTACATGCCATGAGAATGTTTTTTGTATTTTGGTTAAGTCTGTTTTTTACTGGATTACTAGTTGTTTTACTTGGTCTCTGTGTGCATACATGCATTTTATGGCATAATTGTAAGTTATTTGTTTATTTTGGGGACCCCCTTGCTATAGCTTATGGACCCCTGGGGATCTTGGGACCCCAGTTTTAAAAACCCTGCRTTGAAGCAACAGTTTATAAAGAAAGATGTTTAAATAAATGATTAAAAAAACAGGAGGCTCTCAGAAATTGTTGTATGAACTCATGTGAACCTCTCGTTTTCTGAACACATTCTGGTTTTAAAAAAAAAAATCAAGAATTGCAGCTTTGAGTTAAATCTACCACATGGAGTTTTAGACCAATCCTGATTTGAATGCTGAACTTTAGTTAGGTCTCTTTAAACCCGAGTGATGTGAAAGTGTGTGCCTCTTGAATTAAAATCTCCAGGATCAGCCCATCTGTTTTTGTCCCTCTGAAACTCTGTCCTCAGATCAGCAGGGAAATGTGGAAATGTTGTGTTGCACGTGTTGACCTTGTGTTGAGTTATGTGATCCTTTGAGCTCATTGAGTATTGATGTAGCTGATTTGAAACGTCCTGCTGGCAAAGTTCATCATCCAAAGTTTTTAACTTACATTTATGAGTCAGGTTTTCACAGTAAATTTGAAGTCATTTAAATTTAATACTCTGTTCACAGGATTTTTTTTTTTCATGTGAAATCTGTCAGTTCAGGGTTTCTCTTTCCAACTTGTTCAAATGGATAAAATGCTCTCTTTAATCAAGAGCAGATTGTTAAAATGCTTCTTTGTGGGAGTGTTTGTTTTACTTAAGATTTCCCGTCAGATGATTATTTGTTTCTGGACTCAACAGATCACTAAGCCAGCATGGATAATGTAAACCAGCAAGTATGACGTAGTTTTAATGATGCAGGTTTTTTAAAATGAAAAGCTCAGTGTTTTTAAGGAGAAAAATAGGATTTATTTGAACTGTTCTTTCTCAGAGTGGAATGATTACAAAATGTATAACTTGAATGATTTAAAACAAGGTGGAACTCGATGCCAAAGCATGGACTGGTGTGCCTCCGCCTGTCCRAGACTTGTCTGCATTTAAAGCACTGGGCATGCAGTTACCTGTTGACCTCTATTTTTGGACCTAAATATTCTAAGAAGTATGTAACTGTATCAACAATGTCTAAACATGACTTCCTCTTTAATATTTACCACATCATTAACTTCATTGACCAGCCACTTATGTTCAAAATACGGGGCTTTAAGGAACAAATATGACTTTACCTGACCTTCAACTTTGACCTTTGACCTCAAAATGTTTTCAGACCTCCGTTGGGCCAAGGACAATTATGTTAATTTTGACTGCAATCAATAGCTCTGTTCAGGAGATACCAGGTGTCCATCACTGTCTGTGTTCACTGCAACACACAAACGGACAAAAAGTTAACAGGACTTGACTTTGTCCAACTTTTTGTCATGTTTGTTCATTCAAGAATTTTCTGCTCTACTCACTGAAAACTTCAGGTCAATGAATGTTTGTGTCTTTGCTTCATTTTTATCCTTTATGGATTAAAGAAAATCCTCAATATATTCAAACATGTTCACCAAATTCTTGTTTTTACATTGTGTAATAGTTCCACCCTGGAAAAAGAACTGTTCAAATAAAAACTGAAACCCTCCAAATTACTGCCATACTTTGACTGTCATGGTGAGGGGATGTAAACCACTGACCCCATCTGAAGACATGTTGCACATTTAAAAACATCTCTTTTAAGGTCAAGTGTCCCTTTTTTACTTTCTACAAATTCTGTTGCAACTGATGATTTCAAGTACAAAGTACTCTGTGTAGTAGACATTGTATCATCACAACACAATATCATTGATAATCATTAATAAATAAACAAGTTTTTACTTTTATAACTGGGGTGACCCATGTTGTAGAAAGTGTGTAGCTCCCACTAGTAAATTGGTAACCATAAAGCTGGATTTCCTCCTTTTGATCAGTGCCTTAAGAAATGTTTTTGTACTATATGGTTTTACAGTGACCCTCATTGATCAACTCTCTAACAAGCACTAAAAAATGTTGAGGGCATAATAAAAGGAGGAGGTGGGAAGAACTGAGTTCTAACCACGAACACATGAGTAAAACAAGCATACCCTCAGCATCATGTGATTATTGGTCAAGGAAATCTTAAAAGTTTTTCTCAGCTATCTAAGAGTAAACAATGGAAATCCCAGAAGAGAGGTTTCAAAAGTTCACGGGATTCAAAATAGACCACATGACATTTTTACATGAATAGTATATCAGAGCGCAGAGGTGATACTGAATGTGAACAAGGACACACGTTTGAGTAAATGAGGAGCATTTGAAGAGAGAACAGTATGAACTGTAAGAAATGCATGTTTGGCATCTCAGTTAAACATTGCTTAAATGTCCAAAAAGTGATCTCCACTCATTTTCTTTTCTTTTTTTTTTTTCTTTCCTCTAGGGTAAAGTTTTTGAGAAGACTACCCTGAAAGTGAAGCAACAGAAAAGATGGGACAACATGAAGATGAAAATCATTTTTATCAGTGTCGGAGTGGTAGCAGGAATCATCATCTTGACACTTATAATTTATTACAGTCTTTGACGGCCAATGAAAACAGAATCTCCGTGACAATTGAAAGGGAAAAGACTGCAGGACATGAAACAAAAGGTGAAGGTCAAGGAAGTGAGGAACCGTCACTGTGGGATTCCAGCAGTTTGTCTGAGCTGCTCAGACAGCAATACTTATACGTTAAGAGATATTTATAGGAGGATTACTGCTTTTAACTGGTTTAAAACTTCAGGTGATATGGTACCATTTATTGTTTGTCTCCTTCCTTTTTGTTCCTGTTTTTACAGGTCTTTTCATAGTGCACATTCGAAGGTGGAAACTGCATGTAGGATTTAAGCGTTTAAAGGTTTTACTGGCCCCTTTTTTTGAATCCATGTAAATAAGWCCTCTAGCATCAGCCTTTTTTGTAGCAAAGCCATGAATTAAAAATATTTGAAGCACATACCGATGGATTCATTTTCAGGAAGAATGTATTGGACTACAAGAGATAAGCTGAAACTTTTGCCACATCTTTTCATAGTTTTTACGCTTTGAATAGGAGAAAAAAACGTGTAATAAAACATTTTTGCATATTAAAGCTTGTTTTTAATGTTTTATTCTTGGGTGACTTATTTGAATATCAGRTTTTTCATTCTTTCACACATAAATTGCATCTTCCTAAAACACAGCAGCCCCTGGCAAACACAATGGAATCACCTAGGGTTTTCTTACAAAAATACATCACAGACATGCCACAGTTATTCTTTTCAAAGATTCCGACCTTCTGGCATTAATAAACAAAAAAGAAATGTAATTGTTATGGTCAGTTACAATTGCATTTTTTGAACAAGTAGAGGGAAAAAAAATAATGGAGATGACAGATAAATCAAGACTACAGATAAATCAATCTTTTACAATCTTTTGCTTTTACTCTGACAGGACGAAGGTTGTGAAAGACCTCAGCCATCCCAACAATGGACTGCTCTCCCTCAGGGAACCACTTCAGAACCCTGAGGCAAACCACTGAAAGAATGTGGAGGAGCTTCTTTCCACGTGCAGTCAGTGTTCTAAACATAGACACAGTCTAACATTCAAACTCATAAAACACAAAACTAGACTGCAGCTAACAAAACCACAAATTAAAATAAGGGAACAGTAACAACTATCCTCTCATATTGGAGAATAATAATATTCATCTGTGCATTACCTGTACAGTTAAAAGGAAAAAATAACATGTTATATATTGCAGGATATTTAACTTATATTACACAGTAAATGTGTTTTTGTGCTATTTCTTAAAAATTTGCATGTTCTGCATTTCAATTATTGCTTTGTTTACATTTTAACTTTTAAACTTATCTATTTAGCCCTTGTGTGTGTAGATCTGTTGAGAGGGACAAGATGAAGGAGGAGGAGATGGAGTCTTCTGGAGTGAGTGGGGGTGAGGATGGTGTGAGGTCCTGATGCTCTGAGATGTGGGGGGTTGAAGGTGCGAAGTCCTGTGAAGAGAAGCCAGCAGAGGGTGGGGTTGGCAGCAGAGGGGACTGGGCTGGGGGAGGGGTGGGTGACCGATCAAACCTGTTAAAATGCTGGTTCAAGTCGTTCACCCACCCCAAGTCCCCCACACCCTGGGGGTTTGGTTTGTGGCCTGACATTGTTTTCAGACTCCTCCAAACACCACTGATGTCACTCTGCTGCAGTTGATCCTCCATCTTTCTCCATGGTATTTTTTTCCATCCCTGATCTTCCTCCTCAGCTCCTTCTGCACAGCTCCCAGCTCCTCCTTGTTTCCTGATTGAAAGGCTCTCTTCTTCTCCTTGAGAAGAGCCTTTATTTCAGGGTTGATCCAGGGTTTGTTGTTGGAGAAACACCATACTGTCCGGTGGGTACAGTGTTCTCCACACAGAAGTTAATGTAGTCCGTGACACGGTCCGTGATGCTGTCAGTATCATCCCCATGAGGCGCACAGAGTTCTTCCCACACAGTGGAGCTGAAGCAGTCCCTCAGAGCCTCTTCAGTCTCCTCAGACCATCTCTTCACTGTGCGTCACAACTGGTTCTCGGTGTACGAGGGGTTCTGTGACAGGCTGGAGATGAACCACATTGTGGTCTGAGCCCCCCAGGGGAGGGAGAGGTGATGACCTATGTGTGTTTTTTGTGTTGGCATACAGTTGATCCAGAGTTCTGTTATCTCTGGCGTGGCAGGTGCTAGGTGAAGGTGGGGAGAGTGGAGGACAGGGAGACATGATTAAAATTCCCCGAGATCAGGAAGAGGGCCTGTGGGTGTGTTTGGAGTCTGCTGGTGATTGAATGGAGAGCATCACATGCTGCAGAGGTGGCAGTTACTGGCTACAACTCAACAGTCAGTAAAACTCTTATTTTGACTTTTAATATTATTTCTGTATTATTTATTTCAAATTTAGTCAGTCGTACACTTAGTACTTTTCAGTGTTTATAAGAGGATGTAATAAAACACTGTTTAGTCAAATTAAACATGAAAGGTCAACGTTAACTACAAATGGCCCTCTGAGGGGCACCATAATGCTCATGTGGGCCTCTGTGAAAATGAGTTTGACACCCCTGCATTAGAGGAACAACTCCCCTAACCACAAAGCCACATGCTACCCCAAGTTATTAAAAAACAGAGGCAGGGCAACAAGCAGCATTGTAATATTATGATTTCAGTTTTTTCCCTCAAATTTGAGCGATTCCACATTTTATACCTTTACTTGGTCTAAAAATAATAAAGCAACTGACTACAACAAGCATGTTTATTTCATTTTTAATTGTAAATTTTTTTGATGGTAGAAGTTTTGGGTTTTGAAAAATAATAGTTCTGTGATTTATTTATTTATTTGATTTCATTTCATTTCACAATTGAAAGTTAATCCTCCAAGTGTGATTTCAAAATTTTCCCAATGGTTGAGGAAGAAATTAGTCACATACAGTATAAATAAAGAGTGACATCTAGTGGTCAAGACGTTTACTGTATCTGAATTAAAATGTCTTTACACTACTTTGCATTTGGAAAAAMAGAGGATATTTTACCAAATGTAGAGATTCCTATTCTAAAAGAGATTTAAAGAAGCATAAAATAGGAAAATAAACAGGATATTTTCCACTATACCATCCAGAATGTACTCTTCTTAATGGCAGGAGAATAACATGAGTAGATCCACCCAGAGCTGAGACTGAGCTATAGCTGCTGAAGCATACGAGAGAAGGAGGCATCCCGAAGAAGAAACCTGAAGAATCCTGAAGAAGAAACCCCTAATGAAGAACTACGTCTTGGGCAGCAGAACCCAGTGTGCAAGAGGAGGAATCATTGGAAAGATAAACCTTTGTATGACATGCACCAKTGGCTGACTGAGGAACTGACTGATTTCAACAAATCCTTGGCTGCAGAGGACTGGACTGAAGGACAGCATAGAGGGACTAATCGTGGCAACACAAGACCCTCAACACATGAACAACAGAGGCAGGGGTCTACAGTACAAAGCAGGACCAAGATATTCATGGCTGGCTGTCAGGCAGGCAGGCTGAAGGAAGGAAGGCAGACTCAAGGAAGGAAGGAAGGAAGGAAGGCAGGCTCAAGGAAGGAAGGAAGGAAGGCAGGCTCAAGGAAGGAAGGAAGGAAGGCAGACTCAAGAAAGGAAGGAAGGCAGGCTCAAGGAAGGAAGGAAGGCAGGCTCAAGGAAGGAAGGAAGGAAGGCAGGCACAAGGAAGGAAGGAAGGAAAGGAAGGAAGGAAGGAAGGAAGAAAGGAAGGAAGGCGGAAGGAAGGAAGGCAAGGCAGGCAGGCAGGCAGGAAGGAAGGCAGACTCAAGGAAGGAAGGAAGGAAGGCTCAAGGAAGGCAGGCTCAAGGAAAGAAGGAAGGCAGGCTCAAGGAAGGAAGGAAGGCAGGCTCAAGGAAGGAAAAGCAGACTCAAGGAAGGAAGGAAGGAAGGCTCAAGGAAGGAAGGATGGCAGGCTCAAGGAAGGAAAAGCAGACTCAAGGAAGGAAGGAAGGAAGGAAGGCAGGCTCAAGGAAGGAAGAAAGGCAGGCTCAAGGAAGGAAGGAAGGCAGGCTCAAGGAAGGAAGGAAGGCAGGCTCAAGGAAGGAAGGAAAGCAGTATCAAGGAAGGAAGGAAGGCTCAAGGAAAGAAGGAAGGAAGGCTCAAAGAAGGAAGGAAGGAAGACTCAAGGAAAGAAGGAAGGAATGATCAAGGAAGGAAGGAAGGAAGGAAGGAAGGAAGGAAGGAAGGAAGGAAGGATCAAGGAAGGAAGGAAGGCAGGCTCAAGGAAAGAAGGAAGTAAGGCTCAAGGAAGGAAAGAAGGAAGGATCAAGGAAGGAAGGATCAAAGAAGGAAGGAAGGCAGGCTCAAGGAAGGAAGGAAGGCAGGCTCAAGGAAGGAAGGAAGGATCAAGGTAGGAAGGAAAGAAGGAAGGATCAAGGAAGGAAGGATCAAGGAAGGAAGGAAGACTTAAGGAAGGGAGGAAGGATCAAGGAAGGATCAAGGAAGGAAAGAAGGAAGGATCAAGGAAGGAAGGATCAAGGAAGGAAGGAAGGCAGGCTCAAGGAAGGAAGGAAGGATCAAGGTAGGAAGGAAAGAAGGAAGGATAAAGGAAGGAAGGATCAAGGAAGGAAGGAAGACTTAAGGAAGGGAGGAAGGATCAAGGAAGGATCAAGGAAGGAAAGAAGGAAGGATCAAGGAAGGAAGGATCATGGAAGGAAGGAAGGATAAAGGAAGGAAGTAAGGAAGGATCAAGGAAGGAAGGAAGGATCAAGGAAGGAAGGCAGGATCAAGGAAGGAAGGAAGGAAGGATCAAGGAAGGAAGGAAGGCAGGCTCAAGGAAGGAAGG